ATTTCAGAAACAAACTATAGGCAGGATATCTATATGAATGCAGAAATCCAGAAACATCCCATAGGCAGGATATCTATATGAATGCAGAATTTCAGAAACAAACTATAGGCAGGATATCTATATGAATGCAGAAATTCAAAAACATCCCTTAGGCAGGATATCTACCTTTTGCATACAGTTATCCCTCCCTTTTCCACTAGCCATCCCCAAGAGTTTTATTACAAGTTATTACAGTCCAGAATGAAATAAGAAAAGAAAAAGTACATCAGAAATTAACAGTACAACCAAGGGGAGCCTAATTCAGACTCCATGTCTGAAATATGAGATGAACCAGCTCCAAGAGATCATGATCCAAAGCCTTTCTCTCATTTGGATGTGTCAGAGTTCCCTAAGAGCCTCATATGGACTCCGGACAGTGCTCACACCAAAATGTATTATAGGATTAAGACATAGTGCAGTATGGAAGGGCCAGCCCTCAAGTGTCCAAGTTCAGAGGGAACTCAAGGTCCCAAGGCAAGGCTCGCAGGAAGGGGCAGAACTTAGAGACTAAGATAAAGTGCAAGTGCAGAATTCTGAAAAGGGGAAAGGGGAAGGGAAAATAGTACACATAGGGATATAGGGAATAGGGAGTTGCAAGAGGTGAAAAGGCAGGCTAAGGGGGAATAACCAACAATGGGAGATGTTGGCATGCCCCTAAGCCTGTTTAGAACACATTGTTTGGAGGTTAGGATCTTTTAAAGGATCAAGTTCAATCCATAGATAATAACTTGCATATTACCATGTTTTAAACTGTAACTCAAAGCACATAAAGGGGGTAAGGAGCAGGGATTCATAGCAGAAACAAACAGAAAAAAGTCAACATGTTAGTTTAAATATTCAACTTTGCAAAAGTAGTAAAGTAGACATGGATACAGAAAGTTGTAAATAAACACATTGTGGTGATGCTGAAACTTAAATTAGGACATACCAGTTTCAAAGAAAACAAACAAATAAAAGCAGTAGGTCTTGTAGACAGGCCACAATGCAGACAAGAAGAGAATGTTATTGTGAGAGAGTATGAGTTCAGGAGGATTCTGATGTGTGTTCTGTGTGTGAAAGAGGGTCGTGACTTTTATAGTGTAGAAATCAACTAGAAATAAGGTAAGAAAATAGTTAAAGAACTGATTGTCAATCAATTACACAAGGCTTCCCTTAATTAAGGTATTTAAGTTCAAACGGGTAAAACCATTTAAGTAAGGAATTAATCAAACACTTTTTACAAAGTAGGCAATTAGGGGTGAATACATAAAAGTTATTTAAGGACAGGATTTTGATAATACACGATTTGTGCAAATAAGGTAAGAAGATCAATTAACAACCAGTAAATCAAAGGGTCTGAGACTTTGTTATGAATGAACCAGGTCAGAAAGATGGGAAAGCAAACAATGGAAGAAAATCAATCAGACCAAAATCAGAGGGAAGTACGAACTAATCACAAAATTTGAAAGTCACTTTACAGGAAAGTTCATCATATATAAGGAGCATGTGATCATGTTAAGCATGAAAGAAAATTGTCATGCCATTGTAAAATCAGTAGAAAATTCAGTGTAGAAGAGTTCAGCAAAAGAGTCAGAATCATATGCAAACAAGGAAGTCCAAACTCAGTTCAGAGACTCAAAGTTAGTCTGAAAGAATTAGGGGTCTTTTGAAATAAAAACCCTAGCTAGGGCAAATCACAAAACAAAGATGAGAGGGAAAGCAATTGAATCGAAACATGTTTAGAAGTTTCAGAAAAGAACTGAAACTTTTTCATGCTTCTTTCAACAACAAAACTCATGAGAAAACATGATAGCAAAGTAATATGCAAACACAGTAAAAGGATTCAAAGAACATAATGGAAAATACTGATAAGAACAGTAGAAGAAGCATGCTTAAGAGGTTTTCTAGAAGAAACTTAAACAGGGCTCAGCAGAAGGCAAATAAAGAAACTTAAGAACTTAGTAGGAAAATACAGTAGAAGAACACAAGAACACCGGAAAGTACAGCAGAAAAGCATATAGGAAAACACAGTAAGATAACATACAAGAACATGGTAAAATAAAAAATTACAAGATCACAGTAGAAGCAAATACACATAAAGGAAAAAGAAAGTCAGAAAATACTTAAATATTTTCTCAGAAAACCCTAGATCGGAAAAAAAGCGATTTTGAAAGTAATTTTTGAAAGAAAAGTTAGAAAATCGTTTGAAAACTCGGTGAGAGCATAGATACACAACGGATCTAAAGAAATTGGAGAAAACCTCGAAGGGTTGGGGTTTCAGAAGAATCCTAGAGATGAGAAAGGCTTTGAAAGGTCACCGATTTGAGTCGGAGAGGTTAGAATCAGGCTCAAACCACCATGGTAGGCCAGAGTAAGGCCGGAGATAACCGTGGAACCTCGAGCCGGTAGAGGTATGGGTGCAAACCTTCGAGGTCAGGCCTCGAATCTTCAGGTATCAGGCGCGTGGGAGCAAGAAGGGGTGGGTATAAGACTCTCACAGCCTGAGAAGCCATGGATTCCGGTGGGTTTCAAAGCGGAGATAGTAAGAAGCGGCTAGGGTTTGAGAATATTTGAGAGAGTTTGAGAGAGGGGAGGGTTTCAGAGGAGGCTGATATGTGAGAAGTGAGGAGCTTAGGGTGATCGTTTGGATTAAAAAAGGTAAGAACGAATAAGGGTCGTTGATCTCAGAAATCAACGGCAGGATGAAAGAGGGTCAGGATCGGGTAGGATTTTAATTGGGTCAGGGGCGGGTAATTTAGAAATTGGGCCGGTCAGATTTGAAATTGAAATTGGGTTTAATTGGGGGGTTGATTTGGGCTAAAATTGAAATAAATAGGGCTAGTATTTAAATAGCCACTTTTTCCCTTTTTATTTTATAAAAATAGCAAAATGATTTCTGAAAACAAATTAAAGCTACTAAGTTAATTAATAATATATAAATATTAAATTAAAAATACTGGAATTAATTTTATAACTATAAACACAATTAAATCTTAAAATAGGCTAATATTGCAATTAAGTGCAATTTAGCTTTAAAAATACCAAATAAATTTATAAAAATGTGCAAAAATTAAATTAGTTATATTTTGGTATAAATATGAGAATACAATAACTTAATCACAAAAAATGATAATTTGGGAATAATTATTAGTTTTTGTACTGCTAAAATAGAGCAATAAATTGATTTAAAAATCTTTCAAAAATTAAGAAAAATACTAAAACGTTTGGACATACTTATATATGCATACATATGCTATTTTGAAAGTATTTTGCATAAAACATATACAGGAAAAATTGGGTATCAACACCAGATTTACAAGTGGTAATTGAAAAATAGCCACATTTTCAAAAATAATTGAAATTTAGCTGCTTTTCATGTAAAGATTAATTTGAATGAAAATACTGTTCAAAATCCAGAAAATATTCCAGTATAATATACTGGAGTTTCAGTATAATATACTGGTCTAGTGTAATATGTTGGAAGTTTATACACAAGTGCTCCAATCTCTAGTATATTATGATGGAACTTTCTGTGTGTTGGAGTTCCAGCATAATATGCTGGAAGTTCAAACACATGTGTACCAATTTCCAGTATATTATGTTGGAACTTTTCGTGTTGCAGCAAAATAGTAGCTATTTTTCAATAACTTTGCAAACGCTGACTATTTTTCAATTACCAGTCCGAAAACTGGCTAGCATAAACTATTTCACAAGGTTTTGGGCTGTCACCCTTTTGTATTTATCCAAAGAAGACAAACCTTTTATTCATCCTTATCCAATGTGAGATATACTATCATCCTTGTGAGATATCCTTAAGTACCTAATATTTGTACACCACTAAGCTTTATTTTTAATGATAGTTGTTTTCTATCGTCGGTATTATGCGAGACGAGATTTGAAGAAGGTCTTTTGGAATAAATTTTTCTGGGAGATCACATTTGTATATGCACCTAGGTTTTGTATAGTTTTGGGACATGTACATGATCGATATGTCACACTTATGTATGTTATTTTGGAAGCTTGTTGGATCTTAAGACCAAAATCTTGTAACTTGAATTTGGTAACTTGTTTTGTTGTTTTAGGGTATGTTAATAACTCGAGTTTTCTAATATGCTGAATTTATACTTTGTCTCGTAAAAATGTACGTGATGCTGAACAAAAAGTATAATTTTGTTAGGAAGTTGGTTTAACGTGTTGATTATTCAAGAAAGATTGTATCACCTTATCTTGATATTTTAACATTGTATTTTATTTAAGAAATTTTACGTACTGTATTTTTAAAAACAAAAATATTGCACCTTGAAACCTTTATCGTATGAGCCTATTTCCGCTAGTAAATAATTATAAATATCTTTTTAGATTAATATCTTCTGAATATTATAAGTACTTAGTTAGTTTTGTTTCGTAAATAGCACCCTCCCAAAGGGGGTGCTAGAGAGTGTCTCTTCTAGTCGTACTAGTAATAGTGGTACTAGTCTTGTTTCTCTTACTCCGAGTTCCTTGTTGTTAGACGATGTGGCATTATTGTCGATAGTTTTCGCACTTCTCTTGTAGATTCGTATTTCTAGTTCCTTTAATATTACAGGTTGTGCTATTTGTTTCTGTTATGTTATTTTTTGCCATTGTTATTGTTTGTTTATTATGTCTTTTTCACGATTTTTGAGCTGAGGTATATCAGAAATAATCTCTTTCTGATAGATATTACCATTCCCAAACTCCACGGGACGAGATTGTATTGAGTTTCTTGTTGTTGTTATCCCGATAATCAAATGAACATGAAAAGTGGATATTGTGAATTTGAGTTATTTTCAGCCGAGTCATAAGACTCGTTGATAGTCTAGTATGTCGTCGTGTTGGTGAAGGTTCATACATCATCTTCTTAGGTTTGACCTCCTTTTGACTGAACCTGACGTTAGGTTAGCTGAATTTGGTCCAGCCAAGTTTTGACCACCACAAAAATGATAGTAATACAATTATTTTTGTTAAGTCGCACGGATGGCTGCTGAGATTTCTTTGAATTCCGACCCAAGACCGCTAAGTATTTTTATGACGAGTTCTTCATTGGTCAATGGAGACCCACTGGATGCAAGATCATCGGCAACTGATTTGATCTCTTTCATGTACTCAGCTACTATACGAGATTCTTTTCGAAGATTGGAAAGGATATCGCGAAGGCCAAAGATTCTTGACTGTGATCTGTTTGCAAATGTTGTTTGGAGTATTTCCCAGGCATGCTTAACAGTAGATGCTTGGGCTATCATTGGGGCAATGGAATGTTCAACAGATGCCATGATAGCATTTCGAACTAAGCTATCTTGGCGGAGCCAGAGCTTGAAGTTGGGGTTGATCAATTGCTTATCATTTTCTGTGTAGTATTCAGCGGGACAACTAGAGGAGCCGTCAATAAATCCCAGTAGATCGTAGCCGAATAGTAGAGTTTTGACTTGGGCTTGCCATGTTGAATAGTTGGTGCTTCCTGCTAGTTTCAAAGATATTTGGGAAGCAGGGTTGAAAGATATTAATTGAGATGGTTGAACTATGGAGTTATGACCATAGACAAGTGATGGAGTGGAATTGGCTGTTGATGTTGAGGAATTGTTTCCCGTCATTGTAAAATTTAGAGCAGATTACTAACTTGTTGGAATGTCTCGTTGTGTCAATTGCCCTGATACCATAAAAGCACAAGAGTTCTGATGGAACTGTTATGTATTTGCATAACTAAGATCAACCATTTATAATACAAGAGTACAATGAGCTTGGGAGAATAGGTGTCTACAAAGATAAGATACAATCTATACAGATAAGTATTTGAGTTCAAAAGAAATTATCCATTTGAGAAAGTAAGATTTGCATATACGCTATCCTCTACAAACCTCACATGTGAGATTACTTTGAAATTATTATTGTTATTATTGTTAAGTTACCCATCTTTTATATATACATATCAATAACATAATATAAAGAAGAAGAATTAATTAATTATAGAATATATAAACAAAGTAGAGTACTTTTTAATAAAAGTTGGACATGGTCACATGGCTATAGGTGTTGGCATCTAATCAAGTCTATTCGAGCTTGCAATAATACCAAATCGAATCAAGCTCAATTAAATCATGCTACAATATAATCGAACATGAGCAAAATCTAAGCAAAGTTCAACTCATTTTTCTGAATTTGATTGTAATGTTACTAATTTGGTAACCATATTTATTGCATAATCTATGTTCAAGATTTAAGAATTAATATAATCTATATTATATTAAAAGGAGAGTAGTATGCATCTATATTATATTAAAAGGAGAGTAGTATGCATTGTGGTTAAGCCAAGTGGCAAGCTAAAATGAAGCCACTTGGCAATTTTAGGACAACATTAATAACTAGAAATTATATATAGAAACATAATTAATGGAAGTAGTTTAATAAATCTTATACATAATCTAAATAGATCTTAGACAAATCTAATCTATATATCTATAATTAAATTTATATGTATATTTGTATCTATATCTATATCTATATCTATAATTCTATATTTATATTTATATAGTGATCTACTCATAGATTTTTTTCTATATTAGCTATAAATATGGAGGTGAAAATTAATTAAAAACTATAATAGAAAAAAATAAAAATATATAAAGACGTAAATTGAGATAACCTATAACTATTTATACTTTGGAGTAAGTTAAAATATAAAATAAAACTAAAATTTACTTAAGATATTAAGGATTTATTGAGTTTAACAATTAAATAATTTCAAGCAGCGAAATAAGATCTTACATAAAGTATACAAATTATTTATAAGGTAAGAGAAAAATTAAATAATTAACAAAAGATATTTTAATAACAAGAATAATAAATTCATATTAATACTGATAAATCGTGCAAACGAATATTTTATACGTAAATATTACTAAAACATTTAAATATAATGTGTTTGAACAATTAAGAAAATATTTTTCTATGATTATATTTGAATTAAGTTCAGTTAGTTTAAATTTGAAAGCATAACATAATTTTTTTGAAAATATAGTCCAATTAAGAAAATAGAATGATAAAATTTATTTGAATTTGAGATGAGAAAGTTTTAAATTTTTTATCTATATTATATTAGAATGAGTGTGGTAAAAATAGATACTAAATTCAAACAGACTAATAAAAATTCACATGACAATGTAATAATATTAGGTATTGAATAATATAAAATCAAAAATAAAGAATAAATAGAGAAAAAAATAAAAATTCAGATTATTTATCATAGGAAAAAGGGTAAAACTTATTTAAATTTGAGATGAGAAAGTTTTTTATATTATACTAAGAAAAGTCATAATATAAGTCCACATAACTCAAGTCTAATAAGTAGTTAAAATCAAAAATTAAAAAAATTGAACAAAAAAATAAATTAGAGATAATGTAAGGACATTTATAATCATAAGTTTAGAAAATAAATAAAATAAAATAAATATACAATACTTAAAAATATTATTAATTTTAAATAATTTAAAAATTTTGTGTAATAAAAACAAAATCATAATTAAATAAATTATATATTTATCTTATATTATTAAAGAAAAGTAGTTGATAATGATATTAAATAAATTTACAAACGAAAAGCCACATAAAATGTAGTAAGACTATATATTAGATTAAAAAAATAGCAAAATTATGTTAAATTATCAGAATTTACTATTAGAAATTAAAAGAAAAGACTATTTGAATTTGAGATTAGAAAGTTCTTAAAACTATGATGTGAATGCTCAAATTATGGATATACCACGAAATTGAAGTCTTTCTTATGAAAAATAAAATAATAACAAAAAATCAATATTTTAAATTACAAAATAAATTTCTAATATAGGTAATTTTACAAAAATTAAATTTGTATCTTAAAACTAAAAAAGAAAGAAACTTTATGTAAAGAAACAAAATGACAGTGAAAATATTATTACAACATTTAGATATAATATGTTCAAACAATTAAGAAAATATTTTTCTATGATTAATATCTGAATCGAGTGTAGTTAGTTTGAGTTTGAATGCATAGCATAATTTTTTTTAAAATGCAGTCCATTTTAGAAAATAGAATGATAAGAATTATTTGAATTTGAGATGAGATTATTTTTTTGTTTTTTAAAATATTACTTAAAGAACTAAAATGATAGTAAAAATATTACTACAATATTTAAAAATAATGTGTTCAAACAATTAAGAAATTTTTTTCTATGATTAAATACAATTTTAAAAATACAAATAAATTTATAATATTGGTAATCTTACTAATGAAAATTAAAAATTAAATTGTATCTTATAGCTAAAAAAGAAAGAATATTTAACTGCATCTAATACAAAATTAATTATAAGAGAACTCAATATATTTGGAACATGATAATCAAATAACTTTTGTATTAATATTTTAGACTAATTAAAAGTTACAATTTAAAATAAAATATGACATTATTTTGGCTCTAAGTAAAACATTAATATAAAACTAATTAACATTTATAGTAGGGAAGAGAATATACATAAAAAAATAGAGGTAGTGTGAGGATACTTATACTTTAAATTAATTTAAAAATATATAAAATAA